TAATATGATAAACATGCAAAGTGGAAATTAACAGGCAGAGGTATATTAACTCAGTGCTGGATACATCCAGCTGTGGTAATCAGCAGGAAGGCCAAGAGACAGAGATGCCCCCAGGAAGGGGGAGGAGGATGGATGAAACTGTTGGAGAAGTTTAATTTGAATTCAGACATAATGTCTGAGGGGTTAGCAGGACAGCCAAGTGGCCCACCACAGGAGCCTGACTGATAAGGATTGGAAGGTGGAATGTGTTGGTGTCCTCTTAATTAGTGATTTAAATCATGCGTTCCAGTGGGCCTGATCTAGAGGAGTAGAAAGGAAAACGGGGAGGGCAGGGGAGAGTCAGGAATGTTTTGGAGATAAAATTGGCCAGTAGGTGGGAAAGTTGAGGAAGGAGAAGAAATCAAAGGCAGTTGTGGCTTGAGTGATCCAAGCTTGGATGATCCATCGAGACTGGTGCTATATAAGCAGGGCTTGGGGTAGCGCAGACAGAGAAGAAAATGAGTTTATTTTTGTATGTGGGAGTTTTTTAAGGAATCTATGAAGTATGGAAGTAGAATGTAACATTATAATACTTTGTTATTCCTGAAGGGATCTGTTAGGATTATGATCCAAAATGTTCCCCCAAAGGCTTGTGGTGTTGAAGGCTTTGTTGCCAGCTAATGGGTTCTTGGGAAAGTGATTAGATCATGAGGGCACTTGCTGTAAGTGGCTTAATCTATTGATGAGTTCATTAGCTGATGGAAGTGGGGCCTAATGGAGGAAGGAGATCACTGGAGCCCTGGCTTCAGAAGGTATGTTTTGTTCTCAGGCTCCTCTTGTCTGGCTCTTCTCCTCTTCCTGTTTTTCCTGGCTGCTGTGAGCTGAGCAGCTCCGTAAGAGCATGCCCCTCCATCATGATTTTCTGCCTTCTCTCAAGCCCACAATAATGGAACCAGCCTGTCATGGACTGAAACCTCTGAAGCTATGAGCCAAAATAAACGTTTTACATTGATTTTTTCTTGGGTATTTGGTCACAGTGATGAAAACCTGACTGATACAGGACCTGACTTGAGTGGATTTATGTAGATAAGCAGAAACTTGTCCAGCAAATGGTTAGTCTGTGTCTGGGAAGAGGCTAATCCTGAGAATATACGTTTGGAAGTAATCAGTGTATGGGTGGTAATTAAAACTACAGGAGTAGATAACATTGTTCAATGAGGGAACATAGAATGAAAAGAGCAATAGGCTCAGGGAGTCCTACTATGCAAGCTGGAAAGGGATATCTTAATGGCATTGGTCAGGGAGGGAAGGAATGGATTATTTAATAAGTGTGGTAACCTTTGTGGGGTGAGGAGAAAGAACTGAGTCCCTGACTCACGCTCTACACCAAAATTTATTTTATATGGATTAAATCCTTGGGTAAGGAGTGTAGCTCAGGGATCTGGGTTCAGTCCTTCACACTACCAAAAAGAAGAAAAAAAAGTTAAAAGCCTTAAATGTACTTGAAGGCAACACAGGTGACAGTTTAAATAGTATTGCCACATGCAAGATCTTTGGTCAAAAAGTCTAAAGGACAAAATTGAGAAATCTGATTTAATGATAGTCAAACTAAAGCTTCATAGGAAAGTAAGAAAGCAACTGGGAAATATTATGATGTTTCTTTTTATCAAACTGTAAGGAAATTCTGCCCAGAAAAACAGGCAGAGGGTTGCATAAACAGTTAAGGTATAAAGCATCATATTATCAATAAATATGTAAAAAGATATTTTGGCTACATAGTCTAAGAAGTGCCACTTAATAGTCCAATAGCTAGGAGATATTTTTTTTAAATGTCATTCTTGGTATTGATGAAAGAGTAGAGAAGCAAGTGCAGATTGAACATCCCTAATATGAAACTTTGTTTCAACATGATGCCATGAATGGAAAATTCCACACTTGTTGACATGTGGCAGATTACAGTCAAAATACAGGCTCATTGGAAATACTGTGAAATTACTTTCAGACTAGATGTACAAGGTAAATATGAAATATAAATGCATTTCATGTTTTGACTTGAGTCTTTTCCCCAAGACATCTTGTTAAATACATAGAAATATTTCAAAAGGCAGAAACATGGTTGCTGTGTTGAAAGACACCTATATACATTTTGAAAGTCAGCTGCTGAAATTCTGTACAAATTTGCTCCTATAAGACCTTGGTAGGAAAAAATACAGTAAATTCCTACATTCCTCTGTCAGAAGAAAGCACAGTTTCACAAGCATTCTTTTTTCCCCACTGACATACATTGGGAAGTTCTGTTCGTTCATATATTGTTTAGACCGTCAAATCCATTGGAAAGTCTGCTCTGGTAGGGAAGCCAGATGTATTATAAGCTTATATTATGTAGCACAAATTACTTGCTCAGAATTTTCTAACTACAAGTTATGACCAAAGAAAGTCTTCTTTATTATCCTGTCTTTTCTAGGTTGAGCAGGTGTTGGTGACACTGCTGTGGTCTGACCTCCTCGGGGAGCCCTTGTGAGGTGGCAGTTGCTGCAGCGAGATATGGACTGGCTTGCTGCCACCTGCATGCTTGTTTCTGCCAACAGCAGTGGAACATTACAGCCGAACTTGGGAAGTTCCTATGTGGATCTTGAATAGAGTTTTCCCTGTGCCACAGTGATGGAGGCTCAAGCGGAAAGGGATTAAGTGATTTACCATCAGTCATGCTCTCATTAGTAATGGACCAAGATTAGAGTCTAAGTCTGACAGTACCTGGTCCTGAGCTCTTCCTCAGCTGCCTCATTCTTTTCCCATCTCGCTACTTCTTCCTGGCATTCTAGTACTGCACAACTAACTAAAAACTAATAGTAAGGGATAATTTCATTTCAAGATAATGGTTTGCCACTTAGTGAATATAGTTTGTGATTATTTTAGTCAGAGTTTGACTTTTGGGGTCATGATCTTCTCCTTTAATCAGTTACTTCTATACATTGTATGATTCTGTAACTTTAGTAACTAATATTTTAAGACATTCCATGAATATATTTTCATCCTAATAAGTAAGCTGGGTGATACCAGAATTGAATAGGAAGTTGTTTATTCACCCAGAAAATAACGCATTTAAAATGTGTGCTTCTGCTTTATCTGTGTCTTGGATATAATAAAGCTATTCGGGATTCATTTACTGAGGTTTTCACAGTATTTAACAATAGCCAAGAAGAGAATGATCCATTTCCTTTCACGAAGAAGTTTATTTTAAAAATTGTTTCCTGGGTCTCCAGTTACTGAGACAGATATTGCTTCCTTTTTTGTTTCCTCATTTGTCTTCTCACATTTTATATTTTTGTTTGTTCTAAAAGGTTCAGTATTTTGTTTATTTTAAATTTAATATCGGTCAATATAGTTAACTTCTAAGAGCTATTTATTCCTTTTTCATTGCATATTCTTTGTTTTTAGGCTGGTTGCATTTGGTCTGAGGATACATTTAGAGGTTTTTGCCTTTTTGTTTTCTTTTTTCCTTTAAGTTTTCTTATTTGCTGTGTTATCCTTGCTTCTTCTAGGAGTATTTTTATTTCCCTTTTGGTAATCCTTTTTATCCTGAGTTTCTCTTCAACATTCTAGGCTTTGCTTGTGTTTTTTGATCCTTGGTTTTCTGTCAGTATAAAATAAAGCAATATGAAATTGGATAAGTTAGTGCGTTCGGATATGGCAGCTGTCAGATTTTGCTCTTGAAAGGGTGGACAGGAACTTCTTTCCTCTGAGGAATATCCAAATATCTGATGTAGAAAGCTCCCATGTTTGTGTTAGCTGTCCTTATTTTCCCTAGGCAATTTTTTCTTTAAGTTCTATAGGGAGAATGCATCTGTTTGGAGTGAGGAGTGGGAGCACATCAAGGTCGATATCTGCACATAGATCTTTGATTCTTTTAGTCTCACTCTGATAAATCACTGCCCTCTTCTTCCTGCATGAAGAGAGGACTTAAATGGCACCATCCATCTGTCCATCATTGTTTAATCACAGATGTAGTGGTCCTCCTTGTTTCTTTTCTTGTCCATGTACCTAACACAGTACACACAATAGCATGTAGTTCTGACCATGTACAGGGCACTATTTCAGGCACTTCACACATGTGTAATCACTTAATCCTTAAGTAACAAACTTAGGAGGAAAACACAGTTGTCATCCTCACTTTACACATGAGGAAGCTGAGGCTCAAAGAGGTAAATGCCATGGAGCATAACCAGGGTCACACATTAAGTGACATATGTGGAATTCAAATAATAAGATTAAAGATACAATTTACCTATTATTTTAAAACATCAGAACTTTAATTGTGTGAACTGTGTTTCTGTTTAAATGTGTTTCTCTGTGTTTGAGCAGAGTTGACACATATGTGTAGAGTCATATTTACTTGAAGCACATGATGGATTGACTAATGCTCAACTTGTAATGCCCAGCTGAACTGAAATCAGTGTGGTCTGGGTGTGGAGGATCCACCTGAAGATTGTTACCAATAGCCATAGAAAGAGAACTGGAGGGGAAGATCTTGGCCTGTTGATTTTTTAGGAGAAGCTTGCTGCAGATGGCTTTTCTGATGCAAACTAGACTTCTCAGAGGAAGAGCTTGGGGCTTTGCTGTCACTGGGAATGGCCTCTGTTTTCGTCAAGGGAGCTCTGATCTTCACCATGAGCATCACTTCCTGACTCCAATGTGGATCCCTCAGCTCGGTGGCACAGATCCTTCATCTTGGCAGTATAGGTTGTACGGCTTCCACCGTTGGCCTTTGGGCCTTCCAGGTGCAAATGCTTCATACAAACAAGCATGAGAGATTGCTCTGGAGTCTAGGCCACTGGCTGGACTTGTGGAGAGCATTGCCTTGGACTCTGAGCCTTTAGTTGGACTTGTGTGGGAAACTGCTGGTATCCAGGCTCTCAGCTAGATTCTTTGGGCCTCTAATGTGTGGTTAATCTCTCTTGCAATCCTTTTCATTTGACTTTTTGGTGAATTATCATAAATAATCTTATAAATTATGTGTCCTATATTTAATGTATTCCCTTGCCTAAATCCTGCTGACTATAACAAAGCCCATCATTTGACAATTAAACTGATGGTGGATCTCACAGCACTAACTGCCAGTTGTTGATGTTACCTAAAGCCAGGGTGGCTTGCATTTGAGTCTCCTCTGTCATGAATGTGCAGTATTTCCACATCTGCCAGCACATTTTCAGTGTTTGTATATGCAGTATGAGGTGTGTCCTTAGATGAGTCTCAGCATCATTTGCAATCTCTTCTAACCTAGGACTGACTGCATACCTGCAAATGGACATTTACTTGCATTGGAGACAGCCATCCCAGATGGTGGGTAGTAAGAGAATGAGGATGCCTTCAAATTTCCGGTGGCTCTTAGCAACATTTGTTCTTCTGCATCTACTGAATCAAGTAAATAGCCAGAAAAAGGGTAAGTACTTCAGTCTTGCAGAAAACAAGCACATTTCAGTTTTATTTTCATTTTGCCTGTAAATAGTCTTATTTATCCCTTCAGAGTTTTTATAGCTAAAATCCATTTCTCTCAAATCTTTTTTATGTTTACTTTTAATTTCTCTTAAAAAGGCTTTAAAGATAGATGAAAATATTCTTTTATCATTAAAAATTAAGATATAATTTATATAAAATAATATTCCTTTAGGATGCAGATTTGTGAGTTTTGACAATGCACACAGTCAAAACCACTAGTACCACCAAGTTAGGGCACCAGCCCATGACCTAGAAAATTCGACACCTTCCTCTGGTATCAGCTCCCCCATCCTTCCAGTCTACACTGCTTGATTTTCTTTAATTTTACCTATTTGAAATGTAACATAAGTGAAATCTTAATATAGTTTATAATGTTACTCTATGTTAAAATATATCATCTTTTTAAATAGGTTACCTATAGATATTACCTAGTTTATTTCTGTGAAGGGTCATTATTATACTGCTGTCCCTTAGTTTTATTTTTATGTTATATCCATAGTTAAACACAACCTTTTCCCCAATGTCATTGAATAAATAACTTTATTATTGGAATTACTTCTGATTTCTAATGTAAGCACTTATGTGTTTCTGTTTTCTGTCATATAAATAGCTTTATAATTTATTGCTACAGTGAGTATCATGCCAACTATGTATAAAAATAATAATAAAAAAACTTTGCATAGACATTTATAGAGTTTGAGAATACTCTTTATACCGTACAGTTTTCCCCTCCTTCTTTTTCTCCTTCCTTCTTTTCTTTTTTCTCCCTTCTTTCCCTTTGTATTGTGCCCTCTTTTTCATTTTCCTTACGGGGTGACTTTTTTTCACTTTATAGTGTTCATGTCCATAATGTAATGTTGTTGTGTAGGTGTGAGTACAAACTATTAGAACTGTGATTTTCTGAGTTACCTATTACTCTTTAGTTGTCTCTGGATCCCCTCATATTTTTCAAAGACTCATGTGAATTCATTACTACTTAAATTTCATATGCTTCTCAATGGTGTAGAGATTTCTTTTGGTGTTCCTGTAGAGGGTGGCAGTCTGTTAGCAAGCAGAGCAGCAGTGGTTCGGTGTATTTAGTAGTTTTACTGGTAGATATGGGAGGCACATAGTTTTTTTACTTTTTTTTTTCTTTTCACTGAGGCTCTCGGAGACTTGTGCAGAACTCCCTCAACCTTTGAATCTGTACATTCAGTTTCTTCCTCAACTCTCTTAGTTACCTGGTAGTAGGATTTTTGACCATTCTGATTCCAGAGTGGTCTTGCATTTGGTCCACTTTCATCCTTTACCCTTTATCTTTTTCAAACAAACAAAGCTACAAGAAGAAATATGAAAGCAGTGCTCTCCCATGATAGCAGGGTCATCTCTTCCTGGAGGACATGAGCCTCTGCAGACTCTGTGCTTGTACTTAAAATTGAAAATGTTTAACTGTTACTAAGTATGTCCTGTGTAGTATGTGTGTTCATATGTTGTTTCTCCTTCACCAGGGACACCTCGTGATTTGAAGTGCACAACTAACAATTTACAAGTATGGGACTGTTCTTGGAAAGCACCCTTAGGAACAGGTCATGGTACCATGTATAAAGTTTGCATTGAAGACAGGTAATGGAAATACTTAATTTATATCTGCAGCCTAGAAGTTATCTTTCATTTTAGAATATAACAATTTTATTATGGAAGTTTTTAAATGAAAGTTTAATTCTGAACTCTGTTATCAATCAAGAGAGAAACAAACCCTTATCATAGCCAAAAGTTTGGTTTTTTTTTTCATTATATGCATAGAGTATGGAGCATATTGGCAGTTCTGTGGGAAGTTTTACTGGTCTGTCCCAAAGCAGTGTCTATCTCTATCAGGTTTAAGTACCCAATATAAAATGTCATTCACAGTAGCTCAGCAGGTATGCTGTGTGTCTCGTGGATAAAAGTCTGTAGTAGGAAGTTCAAGGACTGGCATATTTGTTTATGGCCACAGAGACTCAGTGCTTCTTTGCCAACTACTTTGCCTTTGTACTCTGTGGTCCCATTTTTTAAGACTATAATGCTCGAGAATCACCAATCATGTCTGCACTGCACAAAGAAAGAAAAAAGAGTGTCTTAGTTACTTTTCTCATTGCTGAGACAAAATACCCAACACCCAAAGTTAAAGGAGGAAGCTCACAGTTCATAGAGATTTCAGTTCATAGTTGGTTGGCTCCAAGGCAAGGTGACACATGGCAGTGGGTTATCACACATGGGAGGCAGAAGGCAGCAAGGTAATAAAGAAGCCAAGCAGCAAGGGACAAGTAGGAAACCTCTTTCTGTCTCTTATCTCCTATCCAGGCTTTCCATCCTTAGAGCAGATAGCTCTCACACCCAAGGTGAGACAGCCTTAATCCTTGCATTACACCATGAATCAATCCCAGCATCACATCCTGATCCCAGCATCATGCATCCTATATGCAACCACCTCTGAAAAGTCCCACCTATGACTGACTGCATGAGGCTTTGGGGGGACATCCAGACACAAGCTATAATAAAGAGGGATGGTTTTCTTTAAGGAAACCTCTAAAATCCCACAAAACACCACTGTTTATTTCTCATTGGCCAGAGCCCAAGCAGATGGCTGCACCTAGTTCTGGAGGTTGGAATTTTAAGTTCTCCTAGCATTGGGTCCATGATAATAAGAGGAGGAGATGGACATTGAAAGGCAGTGGCAGACCTCCTCATATCCCCTTATCCTCCACAATAATTTTGGAGTGGACTGGAAATTCTCATGCTTAGAGTGTGGCCTTTTGGCGACCTGCACCCCTGAACATTGTCTATTGCTTTTCTTTTATCTCAGCAGGATGGCAAGATGCTTAGCCACATAAGAGGAGTTTCGGTGTGCTTCCCCCAGTTCCAGTTTGCAACAGTAGTTCTGAGATATATATATCTCAACAAAATGTTTAAATACAATCAGATTTTTCTCATTCAACGTATATTTATTGAGAATTCCTCTAAGCACTGGAGTGATTTGTCAGGATGGGCCAGGTTATGTTGCAGAAACAGCTTTCAAATCCTAATTCCTTAAATCGTGCTCATGAGAACAAAGTTTATTCCTTATAATGTTCTGTGGCATTTGGGTGTCAGCTGAGATTTCCACCTTGGGTGTCTTTTTTAAGGCCCTAAGTATTACAATTTTAGTAGCAGGGGAAAGAAAGCACACATCCTACATTGGCTTTTATGAGACTTCCTGAACTGATGAATGAGAATTTTTTAATCAGATTTCTTTGGCTAAAAGCCACATGGCCATGCCTTGCTTCAGAGGGGCAGAGGACAGACCTATTGTGAGTCCAGAAGAAAAGACCCTAAAAACTTTGGTAGAGAGTATGAATGCCCTATTCAGGCCACCCTAAGAGAGTAAATTGTTCCCAGGAATTCACAGTGAAGAAATAGTAGCAACACTGTAGGTTATGTGTAGTTGGAAGTTTTTTGTGAAATGTGAGAAGGGGAACCAAGAAGTGTAGAGGTCTACAGGGGCCGTCAGAAGAGGTATGATGTGTATAGGCATGCTCAGTTCTCCCTGGAAAAAGAACCAAAGGACATTCTACCCTGAACCACATTGGGTACAGTGGTTTAAAGAGAGGAGATGATGTCATTTGGAGAATTTGGATGGTTTTGGATTGTGGAGCCTAAAAAAGCATCAGCACATGAAAATAAGAAGGAGGTGATAGAGTGGGGGGCTTCCAAGTCCCTAGCTAAAGTGGGTGCTGAGGAAAGGCCTGGATACTAGGTCAGGGTCCACTGCACAGAAGGAAGGTACCTTTGCATTAATTAAAATTTTCATGAGAAGTTAGTTGTGTTAGAATAACAATAAAAGTATGTAAATGTGGTCCAGGGATATACAAAGGCTGTAGAACTAGGGACATCTAAGAGATACTAAATAGGGAACTGGAAGCCTTTTGAAAACAGAACATGGAAGAAGTTTTATTAAAGCAAACCTTGAGCCAAGGCAGAGGAGGCAAGCAGGTTGCAGGCATGATTGACAGGGCCACTATAGCCAGTTTTGTTCCTTTCATTGGCTGCCAATGAGCTCCAACTAACCTGAGGGTCTGTGTAATGGCCTAGTGCCCAGGGTTGGTGCTGAGGAAGTGGAGTGGGTGGGAGGCAAAGCCAGATAGGGAAGGTTGAATGGTGGGCGGAGGAGATTTAAAGGGCGTGATAAAACCCCAGATTCCTCGAATGATTTATCTATGCTTATACACTGTGCTTTTTGCTACAACCTGGGTGTTTTTCTTGCTCCCACATTGATAAAATCAGTTACCCTTTCTCTTTTTCAGTTTAAAATGCAATACATCCCTGCATGTTTTTGCGTATAAAAGAGCAGAGGTATTTTCCACTGTATTTTGTGTCAATCAAGTTTTTATGAAAACAGCGCTATTGATTTTTATTGAATTAAAATTATTTTATTTCTAATTAAAATTCAATTTCTTTTATCACAGGCCCCGATCTTGTCATCAGTTAGAGAAAACAAATATTAAAATTCCAGCTCTTTCACCTGGTGATCATGAAATAACAATAAACTCTCTACATGATTCTGAAAGTTTTATAAGTATATTCAAGCTAAATGAAAAAAATGTTTGTAAGTATTTGAAAAGGGAACAGATTTTAAAATATAACACTGTTAGTAATGTGATACTTTGTAGTTAGGAAAAACCTATGTTTTCATTTCACTTCTTGTGCTAATACTTTTCATTCACCCGACTATCTTGCTGTATATTAGCGAGCACGGCCAGGATCCAGAAGGAAGCAAACCTGTCTTCTAGTCAATTAAAATAGATACCCCAGAATTTAAGTCCCTTCACTCGGTTCTGTGCTCTTTCCTTGGCTCCCTTTACCTGTGATTGCTGTGTTTCCTCCATGATTTCACAGATGCCCTTTGCCGTGGGATGTAGTGTCTGACCACTCCATATGTGATCCCATTCTTTTTTTACATACCCTTAGGCATACCTTGTGCTTCTTCCTGGCATTGCTTTCAGTTAAATTAATAATCCACTGTATAGTTAGGTATTTATTTACCTGTCTTCTCCACCAGGAAATAGGTTCCATGAAAGCAGGGAACTTTGTTGTGTTATTTTTGTTTGTTTTTTGTTTTGTTTTGGTACTGGGAATCAAAGACCTTGTGCTTTTGAGGCAGGCTACGGAACCACTGAGCTAAATCCTTGGCCCTTGAACTTTGTTATCTGTATAGAGCACTGAGCACAGTGTTGTGCAGGTAGCATGTAGTTTTTGATTGAATGAATACTTAGAACATAGGCTAAAAGCAGATTGGAATTGGAAGCACAAAATAAACTCAACTTGACCGAGATTAGAAATTTTGCTATACCGTGAGACTTCAAAAACCTAAGTAGTTTTGACTTATTAATGGTGTTCAGGCAGGTTGTCAGCTCTTGACAGCCCTGATGGTATGGCAGCACAGTGATATATAATGAATCTTGTAAGGTTGGCTGAGTGAATCCAGGGAACACAAATACAATTAGTGATCTGTGATTTGCCCAATTTACTGCAGTAGATTATGCTTGGAATGATCTGTGTCAGAGATAGCACAGATTTTTAAATATGATAAAATATGTTGTCCTTACTTTATTCAGCCTAAAGCATTGCCTGTGTAAAGTGCTGCTTAGGACTGTCTTTCAGGATAATCGATATGGGCTCTGTTTGTTATGTTTATTTTATACTTCTGAAATCCATGTGAGGAATTGTATATAGATTAACCATGACCCTGGTGCTCATGGTGTTACAACCTAAGTAGATTTTCTATGCATGTGCAAATAAAAGTATTCATATTACTTTATAGTTTGCTTAACAGAAAACATGAAATAGATGGATTTTCAAGTTACTTACATAAACCTATACTGTACTTAGTTCCTGGATGGTATTCCATCAAATGGAAAGATCAGAATTACTTAAAGAGCTGTTGGTTTTTATTGCCAACTTAGCAGTATTATAATCAGTGTTTTAATGAACATTTTCACACATATATTTGTGAATTTGGTTGAATTACTTTTGTTAAATTCCTACAATTGAGAACGCTGAGTTAAAGATACCCAACCCCTTCTTTTAAGACTTTTGTTTTAATATCCAATCGCCAAATTGTTGGTCAAATTCTTTGTACCTCTTTGCATTCCTACATACATCATGTTGATGTGCTGCTTTTCACATACTATTACATATCATTATAAGGACTGGGTAGTATTTATTCTTTAATTTTTACCGTTTAAATTGAATGGCTCCCATATTATATCAGTGCTGTTTTTCATGTCTGTCATAATTTTTTAAAATTTGTCAGTTGTAGTGTTTGAACTGCATTTATATATTTTGAATTTTCTGTTATTGATCATTTTCTTTATTCATTCTTCCTATATTATGTTTGTTAACATATTTGCTGTAGATATTTTTCTGTATTATTTTTAAGTCATATTTTTCATGCTATAAGTTTTCATTGTTATAGGATATCTTACTATTTTTCTTTATGCATTTTTGATTTGCTGTCATTTTGATTTAAATGTTTCATCCATTTGAAATTATTTTATAGTAAAGTATGAGGAATCTGAATTTTATTCTAGACTTTTAGAATACCCAGGAGTATGTTAAGAGTCAGTTTTTACCATATGATTGTTTTAGTAGGTATGCAATGTTCTCACCTCAGAAGCTGCTTGACGATAACGATGTTAGAAAGCTAGAAAAGCAAATCAAGACAAGCTCTAAGTAACTCAGTTCATAATTAAATTTTTAAAATAGTCATGTCACTTATCAGTACATTTTAAATAATAGCTGGCCAAGTGGTGATTAGAATAATGATATTGGGATAAGAAAATTTAAAAGTAGATTAGATGAATGTAAGATAGGTGATAAATATCTTGGTTTTTGGGTTTTCTGTAATAAAATATGTCAGATTGGGTAATGAATAAATAACAGAAATTTATACCTTATAGACTTGGAGGCTGAAAAATCCAAGATCAAGACACTGGTAGATGTGGTGTCTGGTGACAGCCTTTTGTCCATAGATGGTTCCTTCCATGCGTCTTCAGGTGGCAGAGGGGCAAAAGAGCTTCCTCAGTCCTGGTCCTCTTTTATAAAGGCACAGATCCTACTTGGGTGAGCAGAGCCCTCATGACTAATCACCTCGTAGAGGCTGTGCTTTGTAATATCACGTGGGGGTTAAGTTTCAACAGAGGAGTTTGGGGTGGGTGCAGAAGGGGACACACATAGCATTCAGACCCTAATAGTACACCAGCAAATCCCTGACCACCTATTGAATGGAGGAGAAACTGAAATGGTCATAACACTATGCATCAGTGATGTGGGCTCATGGATAATTTGCTGCTAAGTGAAAGTGTGAGAAACGAAGTTTTCACAGGTCTGAAGATAGTTTCCAAAGTCTACTCATACATACATACATATACACATAGTTTTGTATTTAACAAGGGAGAGCACACACGTATACAAAAAGTCTTTCTGTTTTTTTGTTATCTCAGTTTCTTAAAATAACCTTAAAATTTAGATCATTCTTAGGCAAAATAAATTATGTGGGTCCACAAAAGAAAAAGAAAAACTAAGCTGGGAAGACTCTTATCTTCTGATGTTCTAAGAAAGAAAGAACATGTATGTTATGGGTAAGCTGTCCTGGCTTTTAAAAAAATAAGCAAGATTTTCATCAAATTCCTATCTAGAAAATTTTGAGTTTCTAGAAAGCAAGTTAAAATTGTCCTCAGATGTCTGTTTTAGCCCAGAAGAAAAACAGGTGACGGTTCATATGAACTTAGGGGAAACTTCCATGTCTGGTAGGAAGAAAAATTTCTTTTCAAAGGATTTTAAAAATACTTTCATCATCATAGGCATTACTGTCTTCTGCTTAAAATATTGAATATGACTCTTTTTGGAAGTGTTGCTCTGCTAAAATGTGAGAATGTAAATTATGTGGACTTTGGGGGGGTCATTTTAATGGATTAGTGTAGCATCAGTTAAATATGCCCATATTTCATAATTTTTAGGCTACTACATTGTGACATCTTGAATCATTTGAAGGAACAGTCACACTCTTGGAAATCTCCTGCCCTTTTCTGGTTACACTGGCACCTAAACTTTTCCTCTCCTAGCACTAACTCAGCTACGTGCTTCTCTTTTTTTTTTTTTTCTCACAAGCAGCTTCTCAGTTCTATGCTTCTATGAAGCACCCTCTACTAGCTGTGTATAGCTGTGTAACTTTGACCTTGTTGTACAGTTTAGATTTAAATCTACATGTTCTAGTCCTGTACAGCCCTAAACACTTTATGTCAATCCAAGGTAGAGCATTATGCTTGAAAAATTTTAGAAAAATTATTTTGTAGAGCTCAACTTCAAGTTCCCGTACTGAGGCTGATTAATGTATGATGTTTTGTTCTGCTGTTGTTACTGTTCAGCACATGCAGCACCCTGCCCTCGCACACCCCTGCATTTTCCCCCTTGTCATGACTTTACCTAATTGGCTCTTGAACTTCATGGGTGATAACTAGAAGTGAGGCAAGAAAGGGTTTGTCTCTGAATATCTCTTTCTTTTACTTTACTGTCCCTTGAGGAGGAAGCATACAAGAGTCCAAGTTTCACTGTCCCTCATGCCAGAGAGCCTATGTTTCATAGAATGTGACAGGCTTATCTTGTTTTCCATTGATCCAAAATTTTCAGTGATTTATTCTTCCTTAGTGGGTAGGAAGATCAGGAGATTTTCAAGGATAAATTTCTCTATTACCTTGCTTTAGTGTACTGATTTTTTCCTATATAAGCCCAAACTCTTAAGCACAGTTTACCTCTTTGGTAATTTCCCTTCAGAATTCACAACCCTCTCAAACTTCTTTTGTAAATACCCAGTAGTACAATGCCCTCACCCCTGTTAAGTTGTCTTTTCTTGTTCCTCCTCTGTCATCTTTGTTAAACAGTAAGTCCCCAACTTACAAATGAGTTGCATTCCTGGAGAACTGTTTGTAAGTCAGATTCATTTGTGAGACAACAAAGTGTGTGTAGGGCCTGCTCAGTGGCACTGTGCACAAGATCCTGAGTTTGATCCCCAGTACTGAAAAAACAACAACAACAACAAAGTGAATCTAATACTTACACCTATGAAAGTTTGCAACTTGAGTGTTGATAAGTTGGGGGACTTACTGTATTTGGCCCGGATGATAGCCTGTTTCTTTCTAGTTCAATGACCTTACATTTTCTCTGGTTCCCTTCTGTTTCGTGGTCATTGTTACTCTAGATCTAGATTCCTACTCTAGTGTGTGTTCCTTGAAGATGTAATTGTGTATTGGCAGCCCCTACAACAAGCTTTGGCCATTGCAGGTTTATGTGTTCACATTTCTTTCTTCACCTACATGCAGCGAGTTCCTCTGAGTTTGCATCCCTGGCTCTGACTCCTGACAGTTCTCACACAGCTCTCTTCAGGACAATGCACTTTGCCTTTTTCTGAATGCCTGCTCATCTACAGCCACTCTTCTGCATCTTCACAGTGGTTCCTCTTCTTCCTTTCCTGCTGCTTTCTGGGCTGGTACCTTGGAGAAATCAATATTATTTCATTAGAGTGACTTCTTCATTTGATTTAATCATTTCTTTGAAATGTAAACAGATTTTACTTTTTTCCATATTGGGCATCTACTTCATAGCATTATTATTCTTTTCAGGATTGTTCAAGCAGTCTTTTAACACCGTATCTCCTATCTCAGTCCCCTTCAGGCTGGGTAGCAAACCCCTACTAAACTGGCCCTTCAGAAGTTTTCATTATATTCTGTACTTTCCACAGTAACACATTAGCTTCCTAACCCAGTGCCTTAGTTATTATTACTCATGCTTCTGTTTGATTATGTCATGTAAAATTCCTCAAGTGAATAGCATCCCCAAGCACAAGGGGCTAGACCTGGGAGATGAGTGAGCAGGCTCTGAGAAAACACATAGAAACCTTTGCCCTACTGAGTTTTCCATGTTTCATTATTTTCTTAAGTTTGACCTACTGCCATGTGAAGGAAGTTGTTTTGTTGCCTAATTGGAAGTCCCAGACCACGTGACTGCAGAGCATTGCAGGAACCAGTTGCTGTTTGTATTAGAAAATGTATTATGAATTTAAAGTAGCCAGCTGATTTTTTTCTAGTTTGCCTTAATCATTGGGAACTACTTGTACAAAAAAGAAAAAAAATATATATATATGAGAGACCAGTTTAACTAAATTTAATTTATGCAATTCAGAGCAATTACATATTAACCCTAACTTTTCTTGGCAGTAAGCTTTTCCACTGCAAAGACATGGTTAGCTAAATATATTTCTCAACCACCGTAGGTTCCTCAAGGATGGAT